AACAAATTGCATTTTACTGAAGGAAAAATATGTTAGAACTACTTCCAGTTATTATAGATAGTTCAGTGACTAAAACACGGGGTTGTGCCCAATATTGTTATTCTTAGTTGCGAAGTCGCATCCAGCCCATTGCAACCTCATGGACAACATTCCTCCAGGCCTTCCTGTCCTCCACCATCCCCCAGAGTCCACTTAAGCCCACACCAATTGCTTCAGTGACTCCATCTACCACCTCATCCTCTGCTGTCCCCTTCTTCGTTTGCCATCTATTGTTCCCAGCATTAGATTCTTCTCCAGGGAGTCCTTCCTTCTTTATTTATTATTTTTATTATTTTATTTTTATTAAAACATTTTTATGCCGCCCCATTCGCCGAAGCCTCGGGGCGGCTTACAACATTAGGTGGCCAAAGTATTTGAGTTTCATCTTCAGATCTGGCCTTCTAAAGAGCTGTCAGGGTTGATCTCCTCTAAGACTGACTGGTTTGATCTCTTTGCAGTCCAAGGGACTCGCAGGAGTCTCCTCCAGCACCACAATTCAAAGGCCTCAATTCTTTGGCACTCAGCCTCCCTTATGGTCCAGCTTTCACAGCCATACATTGCAACTGGGAAAACCATGGCCTTGAATATATGCACTTTTGTTGGCAGGGTGATGTCTTTGCTTTTTAGTATTCTGTCTAGATTTGCCATAGCTTTCCCCCAAAGAAGCTAACATCTTTTAATTTCTTGGCTGCAGTCACCATCTGCGGTGATCTTGGAGTGCAAGAAAATAAAATCTGTCACTACCCACATTTTTTCCCCATCTATTTGCCAGAAAGTGGTAGGACCGGATGCCATGATCTTTGTTTTCTTAATGTTGAGTTTCAAGTCAACTTTTGTGCTCTCCTCTTTCACTCACACCAAGAGGCTCTTTAGTTCCTCTTCACTTTCTGCCATTAGAGTGGTATCATCTGCATATCTGGTGTTGGTGATATTTCTCCCAGCAATCTTAATTCCACCTTGTGATTCATCTA